TATGGGTGTTATGCCGTGACAAAAGACTGGCCATAATAATGAGGTGACTGTAAGGTGGGGTTCTACTGTCTAATCAAAACTGCCTTGAAGCTCTTGACATATTCATGTCAACTGGATGTTTAGCCTGGGGGATAGAATAGGGAGAATCACATTTTGGACATAAGTGCGGGGCATTTTTGATGAAAAGCAAAATGCTCCATTTTAATAAGATTGACTTCATGTTGAGAATGGAACTCAACTAGAAGAGGAAGTTTGCACTTGTAGTCATGACAAAGTTGAAATAGATCTGAAAACACTGGGCGGCCCTGTTCCAATGATTCTGGTTCTCTCTTCTGAAATCATAAATGTAGATAGGCAGATATTTTAACAAAACAGGTAGGAGAAAGCTTCATTTTGATTGATTAATGGTTTTCTCTTCATTTTTAAAGTAATAAATTATGTTGTTATCTTCACATCTTGGTAACTGTAAACTGCAGTGACTGGAGTTAAGTTACTTTTGGGACAGCCAAATTCCAAGAGGACATAATTGAAGAAGGGGTAAGCAAGGATGGGAGAGGTCTGACCTAAACTTCCACTTGACACTTAGTAGGGAGCAAGTGAATATGTTGATGTCCATCATCATACTGTATTTATTCTTTTTGTATTAACATAAGGCTATGTAAGCTTCTTACCCGTAATGTGTTAATTTATTGTAAATTTAGGGGTTGCCAACCTTGCCTCCCCCAAAACAGAGGAAGATCTTCTCGAGAGCCCACTTCTAGACCAAGGAAGCTTCTGGTCCACAGATCTTGGCTGGGACCAGACAAGTCTTGGAGAACCGTTCTTTGACCAGGTGGCTGAACTCGAGAAGTTGATACCGGGGGAGAGTTGCAAGGGACACCTTTTGGGGAAATCTTGGGTTGCAAATACTGAGTTGTTCAATTGTGGTGAAGAGGTGCATAAGGAATGGGTTGGGCCAATATGTGTGGAAGACAGTAACCAGGCTGCTAGCATTTGTGGAAGTGTTCTGGCTGACCATTTGCCAAACCCTGGAGATGGCGATGATGCAGAAAGCAATGATATAGAAATGATTGAGCAACAAGCATGTAAACATTCAAGTGTGCTGGGTGGGGAGGCATCAGCACTGTTTGATGTTTCCCAAGGTTCTCCTTCATCAATTGGTGGTTCTTGTAGTGATGAAGCTTCAGAGAAGAGGATAAGGAACAACCAGGCTTCCAGAAAGTTTCGTCGTGCAAGGAAGGAAAGACAGCATACCTTGTTTGCAAGGGCATCAAAATTGGAGCAAGAAAACCAGTTGTTAAAGCTTCAAGTGAATGAGATGATTCAAGAAATCATCTCCTTGAAGTCCATGCTCCCAAAGAATATTGTCCATGTTTAACATTTTTAGGGTATCTTACATGTACATGTTTATATTGTAAAACAGTTAAATTAACAAAGTTGAGCTTCGTCAGTTTGTGATTGAACAACACATGCTATGGTCTTTGAAGTTTTCACTTTCGTTCGGATGTTCAAATTCAGACAAGTGAGACAGTATTTTAAAATTCATGTGGTCCTAACGGGAGGTACGGCCTGTGACTTACAGGGCCCAAACTTCTCATCCACATTCAAGTGATATTTTTAAGTCTTGTGTGAATATCTCGCATTGTGGGCAATGATAGCTGATTACTGATTCTTCATGTCTTCATGTCTTCATGCAATTGCCTGCCTGGGATCATTCGAGTCATTGAGAGCCAAAGGGTTTCCTTAATATTTCCTTCTGAGAGCTCAAGTGCTAATCATGGTAGTTCAATACATTTTTCATTTATTTGTAGTTGTCCCATGTTTAGATGGGTCTAGTACGAGTGATTGACCTCCTTGCAGGTAATTAAGAACTTCTCTTGCGTCCTTTAAACATGGTAACAGTTCACCTAATCAGTTGACAAGTAAAAATATGGAAGTGAGTTTTGAACTTCAATCTGGTTTGTTTAATTATATTTCAATATAATTATTATATTAATTATTATTAGCTTTGAACTTGACTTGGTCATTGATTCTTAAACACATTTCAGATAAGTATTGTAGAAAATTAATAAGTTGTTTCAATCTTGTTGTAGGTCCATATTTTTGGTGACATAAGAATGACATCCCCGTGTGATCAGAATTAAAGTAGGATAATACATTTAGTTATTGTAGAGTTAAGTCTGTGAGTTAGTTGATCATTTAACATAGTCATTTTGGGGATAGTGCATATGCCTTTTTTGAAACCAATAATTTTAGTAATTTTTCTGTATATTGGGTTTACTTTTTTTGCCTTTATATTATTTACCTGTGCTTTAGAGGCTGAAGTAATCAGTATAAAATGTAAGTTTGTTGAGAATTAAATTAATGTTAGTCACAATGCTGTTTTTGTCTCATGTTTTTTTATTGTGCATTGCAGACACTGCTGCAGTGTGCAGTGGAGCCTTGCCTTGTTTCCATGTGCGAATCCCCTCACCTATACAGTACAAGAAGCTTGTTGAAAAAAAGTATAACTGCATTTTCATTCCAAAAACTTGCATGTTTCACGGGGTGACAGATGTCACAGTTTGAATGCAGAAGTGTACATTGCCTGCTTGTCAAACCTTTGTTTACAGCATTTCTGTGTTGTTAAAGGCAGCTGTTATTTAATACCTCGACAAACCAGCAGTATTAAAAGACGTTTTTAACTACTTGCGAGCAAGAAACACAAGGCACAAGCATGAAAACATATGCACGAAGTAGGGAGGTTGTTGAATGAAGCTTCCTCCATTATGGCAGGCACACAGGCATATAAGTAGAATGTGTGGGATATGGTAGACATTAAACAGTTTCCATAATGGTAATTTACAAGATAGTAAATTATTTGTCCCATACTTAATGAGAGTAATTATGTCAATGAAGCAAGAGAAGATAATGGGGTCAACAATTGGGAGGTCTTATTAAAGGGGAGGTGGCCGGCACAGTGGGGGGGGAGGGGGAGGACTTATAACCAGAATTGTACAGCATTTTTACCGGGTCAATCTGAAACAGGTAAGTGACCTACATGTATACTGTATACTGCACACTATATACATGTTAACATACATATATTCACATACTGTTAATTTGCCTTACTTGCAATAGATTGCAAATCATCAATTTTGCTACCTGTAAGTTGGTCTGTGACACCATTTTTGTACTGTACAAATTAAAGACAACCTTATTTCTATTTTATCTGCAACTTTCTTTTTGTAGGGCTATCATGATACATCGTTTTGAACAATTACACGACTGACTTGAATTTAATATGAACATCAGATTATCTGTCAGTCATGTGTGAAACAAGACTAATGTCAAGAAGAACTGACTTTATGGCATTTTACAAGAAAAGAATAGAAGTGTTCAAAATGAACATACAAATTTGTATGTTCATTTTGAACTCTTCTACATGTATTCTTTTTTGTTATAATTATAATAAATATTTAACATTTATTAATTTATTAAATAAATATTATTTCTTAAATATTTGGGATTGTAAATATTTAATATTTGTTATTAATAATAAAATTCTCATAATACATATAATTTTATCCATTACTGATTGTTTTCTTTTAGGTCAGAACGGGATGTCAACAGTGTTGAGATTACCCATCATGAAAAGAAAACAAAGATTGACAAGGTAAATTTACACATCTTCATAAGATACACAATATGGTTTGTAAAATTAATTCCCAAACATCCTATATATTAACCTAGTTCGTACATGTAGATGAGCTCAATATGGTGAGTTAGTTGGGCTAGATTGTAGACAGACTGAAACAGTTTCATTAGTAGAGCTTTCTCTCTACCTTGTAGTGTACATGTAATGCCAGTAGGAATTGTGATTTGCCTGATGATCAAGTGTTTAGGCCTCTGGATGGGGAAATGTGCATTTGATCCAGTTGTTAACAGGGCTGTCCTTTTGGTACAATATTATAATTAAGAAATAGAAAACATGTACCGTGTTTCTATCTAGTTATAGAAACATGAGTGGAAGATTGGGAGAACGAGAAGGGCTGTGGGAACACGAGCCGCAGGCGAGTGTTTCCACAGCTTTTTCAAGTTCTCTCAAACTTTCACGAGTGTTTCTATAACTTGATAGAAACACAGAGAATGTGTTTTCTATTTCTTTTAGAAAACACCGCGACCAAAAAAAGGAAAACAACTTGTTAACTTTGATTATCAAAATGTAAATTTTCTTTCCTCGCACCATCATTACCTCAACAGCTCGTGCTAGTTCTGTGTTTCTATCGAGTTATAGAAACACAATTTTTAACCAATCAGTGCGTGTATTTTCTTAGGGCTGTTTTCTAACATGCTCTAAAAAATGGCAAACTCTGTTTCTCCAGCTAATGAGAACTTCTACAGATGATGAATTATGAAAGGACACCTGACCATTTTGGAATCTGTCTTCAGTGATGTCATAAGTGTGGTGGACATGTACAGTTGATATTTAAAATTTAGAGTGACTTTAAATTAAAACTGTTAACTTAGTAAATCTTAGCTCCAAGGAAATACAAAAAAGCTATTTACTGGGTAAAGATGAAAAATGTTGACCTGTCAGTTTCAAGTTTGTGTCAGTTTAAAAGAAAGTGCCATTGATAGTACAGTGGAAGTCCGTTAATACAACCACCTTAAGGCCATGGAAAATTGATCGCGTTAACGGGGTGATCATATCAAAGGGGTTCTTTAAATAGGAAAATGACTGACAGCTTTTTTTCGGGCCAGAATAAAGTGGCCGTAATAACGAGGTGGTCGTATTAACGGGGTGGTCGCAAGGCGGGGTTCCACTGTACTACTATGTTTGAAAATCAGTTTCATGGCAAAATCCATGATTTTGCCAATAAAGACTGCTAGTGGCTCTGAATTTTGAGGTCAGCCCATCAATAGTTATCTTAATTAAATTAAATTAAAATAAACTAAAAACCAAATGACTAAAATATGTGACCCCATCATCTGATTGTTGATTTTGATTTTAGCTTGCCTATGGCTGTGTGCAAACTTTAAGGGTGGGATTTGATATTGTTTCCTTGTACAAAGTTGGAAAGATGACTGAAAACAAATGGTTGAAGTAAGCAAATTTTTGGTCTTATTTGTTAGAAAGTTACTCAAATTAAAGTTAATTGACCAGTTGGTACTTTAATTTGGAACTTTTAGAGTTCTGGGGTCTCTATGTAGTTCAGGCAAGTTATGGTTAAGTTCATTATTTATGAACTAGAATGATACATACCAGAAGAAATCACCATGTCAGGTCTTTTGCCCTTAAGTCTTTGTACCTCATTGGCCCAGATGTCAGTTACAACTCATATTGTAAAATACACTATGCTAGCTGACAATGTGTGCACAATTATCTTTTTATGTTGTGTCTCATGCAAGCTGAATATTTTACCTATAACATTATCCTCTTGCATGAATGGGGTGCAACACTTGCAGAGACCGAGAGGTGGAGAGCCATTAAATATAATAATAAGCTATTTAGCTGCAGCTTAGTCCTTCCAATGCGTTGCTAATAGCATTTGGTATAATACACATTGCGTTTGGATAAACAATATCCATATATCCTCCATGCAGAATGTTTTTTGGTCTGAAGACACTTGCCCATCTCAAAATTCATTTTGTTTAAACTTCCCTTTAAAGTTTTTGGCTTTATTGAGACTTCCCACACCTTCTGTCCGGTACTGTAAGGTTGTGAATTTGCCATTTCTCAATTTAGTCGCATCATCATGTTGGAAACAGTCGCTGGGGTCCCAGGTATGATAGCAGCAATGGCACGACATTTTCACTCGCTCAGGAAACTTACAAGGGACCATGGATGGATTCACACCCTGTTAGGTATTGTTTTATTATTATTTTTTTTGAATAATTTGAAGCTTTATATATAAAAAAAATAGCTTTATTTGAGTGTCAAATGTATTTAATTAGTACTGTTGTGCTAATTGGGAACACTGTAAAAGAAATATTAGACAAATAATGCAAATAGAACATATTAAACTATTAAGAATCCCAACTGGTAGGAGGCTGACTAGTTGGCTATTTACATAATGAGGTTGAAGAGTTGAAATCGAGAATACTGAGAACAAATCCAGATAGTGGTAGGATAGAGGGTTTGAACCAGGGACCTCCAGTTTTCAAATCCAGCACTCTTAATCACTTGCCCTCCTCTCTGGCCCATTATTTCACATAATATATGACTGAAAATATTCATTTTAATTATTGCACCATTTGAACAACAAACACATTAAAGAGGAGGCTGAGAATGAAAGAATGCACTTGATGACAGCCTTGGAACTAAAGAAACCTGGAATTCTATTCAGAGGGATTATACTTCTTGCACAAGGTGAGGTCTTTAGTATTGTCTTTTTACAAGAATAAATCATGCATTGGTGACAGTCGCAATTTACATCTTATAATAGCATTCCAGATGATGTGCCCAAAGTGCTTTAGAAATATCAAAAGGTAATATACATGTTTTTTTGAATAGCTGACAACAGAGTGGCTTAGAATACACAGTTCAGCTGGTTCTTACTTGTTGTTTTCTTCTTTCTCTTTGTATCACGTCGCAAAACGTATAATTTGCTGGTAACTGTTTATGGAATATATTATGTAGAACTCCCCTTTGTCTTGAGTATGTGATGATATGAACCACAGGGGACCCGAACACTATATCAGCAGTGAAAATAAATGTACCATCATTTACCTGACTCTGTTCCTGTGTCTTTTGGAGTCGAGTTTAGAAGGGATTTGAATGAAGCGAAGGCAGTTTACATTTCTGAATATTATCTCATCTGCCGCTTTGTAATTATGATGCTCCGATTACGAGCTAACCATGATTAGCAAAGCCATACAGTACTTTCCACATAAGCTGTGCAGAATAGTGGGAAAATACAAGTTAAATTTTGTTGTTAGGTTGATTCCTTTATCTTTTTCTCTATTTTCAGGTGTCTTCGTAAACCTTTTCTTTATAGCTTACATTCTCAGCCCAAGGTTTTGCCACAGATTTGTAGGATATCTGGAGGAAGAGGCTGTCAAGACTTATACTTACTGTTTGAAGGTAATTAATATCATTCATGAACTAAGCAACTCGAGATCAATGCATCTGTACAGTGAAAAATCACTAGACAAGTGCAAAATATATAGACTGAGAATAATACATGGACACGCTTATATATGGAATTTCTCTTCAAGTGTTCAGCTTCATATCTCACATGTAAGTGCGGCGAACAAGCGAGATGTAAAGTTGAACTCTATGTCTACAGGCAATGATGTATTATTTATTATGTAAATATACCAATAACGAAGTTTTTGACAATTTTCCGAAGATATTCCAAAAGTTGTTGGAAAGCCGCGCGAACGTTTCCGAACATTTTACGAACATGTCTGAAGATAACCGAAGATTCCGATGAAGATCCGAAGATGTTTCGATCATACACCAACGAATTTAAGTACAGTTAAAGGGTCAAACATGATTTCAAACATAACGTCATCGATGTCATCACAGTGAAATATTTATCGTAATTTTAAACGTCCAATTATGGCTTTTCTCACGGCTGGAAATCCTTTT